CTTTAAAAGTTTGAGGCTCATTTTCAAGCAAGAATGTCACAAAATCTGGTCCAAAGGAAGTAGATGTTCTTTGACGTTTGCTACGCCTTGGATCTTCTATACTTGGAGTATTTTCCTTTGGTTCTTCCCGAGGTCGTTTAGGTCTTTCACTTAACGACTCACATTCAATTTTTTACTGATAGATGCTTTCAGAGAATTCAGCATTATCTGATTCCATTACCGTATTAATGTGAATTTCGGGATTATCAGATTTATGNGTTTGATGGATTTCAAGACCATACACGGCCGCTATTGCTACTAACACCCTAATAGATGTTATCCTCGTTACTGGCGAGTAAGTGTCAAAGTAATCAAGGCATTCCTTTTGTCTNTATCATTGCAGCCACTTGAAATGCTTCATTCACGACTATACCTTCAGTAATAAGGTCATGAAAAATAAGTTGAAGCTCCTGAACTTAGGTTCCAACAATTTTACTTTCTATCATTTTATAGTCTAGAAACTTGGCAACCACAAACTTCTTCAAGCATGCATCTTCAGTCTTGTACTTCTTCTCAAGTGCGTCCCATAATTCTTTCGAAGTATTCATCGCACTGTACACATTGTACAAGTCATCCTCTAAAGCGCTTAAGATATAGCCTTTGCAAAGAAAATCTGCCTGCTTCCACGCCTCAACAATCATGAATTTCTCGTTGTCCGGCATGTCCGCAGCAGGCACTGGAGGTTCTTCACTAGTGAATTTCTGCATACCAAGTGTGGTAAGCAAGAAGAACACCCTTTGCTGCCATCCTTTGAAGTTGGCTCCGAAAAATTTCTCCGGTTTCTCTGCCGGTGGAACAATAGTCTGGCTTGACGAGGCTATAGTCGTTGCCACAATAGTCGCAGAAGAATTTTCGTTATCAATTACCATTTCTCACTATACACAACAGAAGAGTTCAATTAATGGCAAAATCAGAACAGTACACAATACTGTTATGAACAAAAAAATAGTATGTATAATAAATAAAACCGAAGTTTTTATATACTGTTTTACAGAAAAATGATGAAGTTTTTATGATCTTCAAATCGTTTTACGAATTTCAATACTCTGATTAAGTTTTTATATCTTCAAATCAGAATAGTAAAATTCAGAAGGAGTAGAAAACCACACAGGTTTTAATCTCCACAAACAAAATACAGAATATAAAAAAAATTAATTTCCTTAAGACTGTTATTATTCTGTATTGCTATAATAAATAATTAAACTTTCTGAAAAAATAAAACAGAAAGTTAGTTATACTTGTTTAACGAAATAGATTCTGGAAAACAAAAAAAATAGTATAGGAATAAATCGAGCCCACTGAATACACAGTGTGTCATTAAGGAAATTATTCCCCTCAAGTACCCGAGGTGCTGGAATATATTCTCCCAGGATAGAACGATTTAACTCACCAGTGTATTGGTACCAAAAATTCTGATGAAGTGCGAACCACTCAATGGTCGTAAAACACACTGAAAAATATTGTGCAGAAGAAGAAGAAGAAGAAGAAGCTCAGAAAATTTCGTAAGGAAAGATTCTGGGATTCAAACTCTATTTATAGAGTTGCTAGCATTGTTTCTGAAAAGGTTTGCAACCTTTCAGAAACAGCCATGGCTGTTGGAAAAGGGGTGTTTGAAATATTACGGAAAAAATATATTTAAAATAATTCAGAAAAGAAAACGGGTCTGACCGAACCGGGTCGCGGGTCCTGGGTTATTCCAGATTGATTTTTTCGTTAATTATTTAATTAATTAATTAAATAATTGAAAGGAATTTTGTCCAAAAAAATTAATCAATCAATCTATCTTTGACCAAATCCGAATCCGAATCCGAAGCCGAAGCTGAAGCCGAGCCGAGCCGAGCGAGCGACGACGACGGAGCGAGGCTTGCCTTTTTCTTAACTCTTTAAGAGCTAGAAGAAGTGCAATTATATATATATACCCATCAAAAGCCTTTTCTTTCTCCGATATGGGATAATGTCCCTTTCCCAAGGGAAACTCAAATATTTCATTTTTCCTCCATTTCTCATTCACCCTCTTTAAGCTACACAAGCTTAAAATCCCAACAGTGGATTCTAACAAAATGGTTAACGTTTAGACAGATCTAGTAGAGAATCAACGGTAACATTTACTATGTGTTTCGAAAGATATATGTATTGATGGAGAAATAACTAGCAATAAATAACAATAAATGGTATTTAAGTAAATAGAAGAAGTGGTTCACCCAATAAACAATGAGCTAGGTGATTATTTCTCCTGACAATGATGACTGACAAACAATGATGAAAAAGTGTCGAATAATATGAGCAAGAATCTTGATAAAAAAGTAATCTTTGTATCTTTACAAGAGAGTGAGAGAATCTTTTAGCAAAGTCCCCTATTCATTAACTTTTTATTTATATGGGACATACCTCCAGTAAACCCTAGTAGTACAAGTGTAGAGAATATTCAATAGAATATTCTCTTTAATTCCCTATTCTAATAAACTAGCTGTTACAGCTCTTTTTGCGATGCTCGGTATTGACCATTATTTGCATCTCGACCACGAGCCTCGCTATCTCCTGGTCGACCTCGAATGACTCTTTTCTCGATGTTATTTTGCCCTAAGTACTGAGACAAATTTCAACCTATCACTACAAAGAAACAGTGTTATAACGGCGATTATTTTGGCGTATAACGGCGGTTTAAAACCGCCACAATAGACTGAAATAGCAGTTTCGATAAACGCCAGAATTTCGCTCGCCAGTAACACATTGCGGCAGTTTTTCAAAAACTGCCATAATCTAACATTTGATAAAGCGGCGGTTTCCAAATTGCATACTACGGCGGTTCAGAACCGCCCGAATTGTGTTCCCATATGTACTACATGTTTAAACTGGCGGTCAAAACTGCCACAATTATGTTCCATTATCTTATTTATTTATTTGTCTTATAATTAATCCTCTTTATCATGCTAATGTATCAAAACATGTCAAATACTATAGAATAATTCTGACACAAATACAAGTCATCAATTAAATAAAATATATATTATTAAAAAACAAGTATAGGTACTTCAATATTACATCATCAGATAAACTAAAATTCCAAAAAGAATCATAGTCATTTCTTGCAACATTTTTGAATGAGCACTCGGTGTAATCTGCATTGAGTCTGCCTACTTAACATCAGCTAAAAACACCAGAAATGTCATGTATATTTATCCAAACAGAACTGCTATTTGGGGGATCTTTTTAACTAATTTTTTAAACTCATCTTCATCTCCAGGAATATCTTTTCTCAGATATCTTTCCTTAGAAGCTCTAATTCCTGTTCCCTGCATAAAAAAGTTACATCACATATAGAAGTTAAATTTCGACGAGTGTTTACAAGAAGCAAACACTTTTTTAGTCTAACTCTAACTCCTAGCAATGATACCATGTAACTCATAAAATACATAAAAGTTGTTGATCAGACTCAAAGTAAATATGGATGTCAATTCAACAGGAAACTCAAATAAAGCTAACCAACAACTGACTCAATTGCGTGACTTGGCGGACTAAAGAAATTGAAAAAATAATTTTGCATATCTCAGTCCTGATTATGTTAACTTCTGCTCATAGTATATTCTCTTGACACACCTCAAGAAAAATACTTAAACTTCAATCGAGTATCAAATTTCTATCTAGCAATTTACAGAACAAGTTATCAATCATATTTCTCAAGCCTCTTATCTCTAAAGAAAACAAGGATGCAGAGCAATCTGTCAATTCATATATATCTCGTAAAGTAACTCGGTTCTCTAAATGATGATCATTTTGATTTAACATCAAAATAATATGGCTGAAGAGCCTCTGAATCAAATACGCAAACCAGAATACTGAGGTCCAAATTATGGAAAGCAATAGAAAATAAAAAGCTACATGTACCCAACTTTCTATATGTCACCAACTAACTTTCTTAACAAGTCATGTTTTGTCAATAACACAAAGATATAGAAAGACATCAAAACTATTATCATCTCACATGTACAATAAAAACAGAAGAGTTGTTATTTATAACATTAAGATTTTGAACGACTTTCAAAAAACTATTATCACCTCACATGTAAAATAAAAATAACGAAAGATACTATCATTTGATTATTTTTCATATAATACATGATGCATATCTAATGTTCATATTAGAGTAGACCATAAAGTTATTAAAGTCACTGCGAATCACTAAAGAAAGTAGATCAGCTGGAGTTTGATTTATATGATTGATCTAAACAAAGATTAGAAAGAAGAAATCATGTGCTTGTCTTCAGTAGACTGCAAATAGGAACTTTATGGCAAATACTTCTAAATCAAACTCTCATAAATGCTGGATGTTATTGCCAAATAGACTACGCAATGAAGACAGCCAATGTAACGACCCAGCTGGTCGTTTTGAATATTATAATCCCGTTCTTCTATTACTGCCCAATTTATGTCTTTCAATTGATTTATCACTTATCGGGTTAGCTGGTTCGGGTCCGGGAGGAACTCGGAGTGAAATGAGACACTTAATCTCATAATTAAAAATTTAAGTTAGAAAAGTATATCGGATATGGGCCTATGTGTAAACAACCTCGGATTTGAATTTTGATGATTCCAATAGCTCCGTATGGTAATTTTGGGCTTAGGAGCGTGTCCGGAATATTATTTAAAAGTCCGTAGAGGAATTAGGCTTGAAATGCCGAAAGTTTAATTTTTGAGAAGTTTGACCGGGGGGTTGACTTTTTGATATCGGGGTCGGAATACGATTCTAAAAATTAAAATACCTCTGTTATGTCATTTATGACTTGTGTGCAAAATTTGAGGTCAATAGGACGTGATTTGGTAGGTTCCGGAGTCGTTTGTAGAAATTAGAAATTTTAAAGTTCATTAGGCTTGAATTGGGGTGTAATTCATGGTTTTAGCATTGTTTGAGGTGATTTGAGGGTTCGACTAAGTCCGTATGATATTTTTGGACTTTTTGGTATATTTAATCGAGGTCCCGAGAGGCTTGGGTGATTTTTGGATGGTTAACGGATCAAAAATTTAGACTTGAACAGCTGCTGAAATTTTCTGATATCTGATGATGTTTTCCTTCTACGCGATCCCGTGAATGCGTCTACGTTCGCGTAGGCTTATTTGGTCAGTAGGGGTTTTTTATTCTACGTGATCGCCTAGGGATATCTGCGATCGCGTAGGGTTAATGTGAGGCAGTGGCATTTTGTGCTTCGCGATCGCATGAAGCAGGATGCGATCGCGTAGCTCTGGAATTTTGTGACTCGCGAACGCGTGAAGAAGGTCGCGTTCGCGTAGAGTAAGTGGAGCGGAGTAGAAATCACAGGTTTTGTGCTTCACGGTCGCGTGGACTAGTCCCGATCGCGTATGTCTGTGATGTTGTGCATCGCGATCGCGTGGGAAAGTCCGCGATCGCGTAGATTAAAATCTGGGCGTTGGAAAATTGTTCTTCGCGATCGCGTGGGAATGTTCGCGATCGCGTAGAGCAAATGTCTGGGCAGAGAGTTTAAGTTCTGAAAATGGGACGGATTTGAGCTCGGGAAGAGGCGATTTTCGGGAGTTTTTCAAGGAAAACAATGGGGTAAGTCTTCTTAACTCAATATTGATTAAATTACCCGAATCCATGGTTGTTTTTATCATTTAATTGGTGAATTAAGTTGGAAAAGTTTGAAAACCCTCTTAGTTTAAATTGAAGATTTGAGGGTCGAGTTGGGGTCGGATTTTGATAAAATTGGTATGGTTAGACTCATGATTAAATGGGCTTTCAGATTTTATAAATTTTGTCGAATTCCGAGACGTGGGCCCCACAGGCAATTTTTGAGCTAATTTTTGGATTTTTATGGAAAATCATTATTTTCTTATGGAATTAATTCCAATGAATTTTATTGACTGAAACGAATTATTTATGACTAGATTCGAGGCGTTTGGAGACCAATTCACGAGAAAAGGACATTGCAGAATAAGAATTTCACAGCTTGAAGTAAGTAACCGTTTTAAATCTGGTCCTAAGGGTATTAAACCCAGGATTTTGATATTATGTGATTATTTTGAAGGTGACGCACATGCTAGGTGACAGGCGTATAGGCGTGCACCAAAAGGATTGTGACTTGGTCCGTCCCGGAAAGCTGTAAAGTTGATTAATTTATTTTTAGCTATATGCTCTCTATGTGTTGATAAAATTTGACTGTAAATCATGTTAGAAATCATGCTTAGGCAATGTGATAGTACTGTTGGGACCCACAGGGGTCGCGTACTTGTTGAATTGCCTGTTAAATGCTATATGTACTCAGTCTCAATTTTTACTTGCACATTTTATCTCAGTCTCTGTTATTATTATTGATACATCATATCATTATTGTTTGGGCTAATTTCATGATTATTGAGAGCCCGAGAGGCTGGAAAGATTTATGACTGAGTGAGGCCGAGGGCCTGATTGTGAGATATTGATACTATAGCACGTGACTTGGCCGTGCAGATCCCTATATTATACTATAGCACGTGAGTTGGCCATGCGGATCTTTATATTATACTTCAGCATGTGAGTTGGCCGTGCAGATCCTTATATTATACTACAGCACGTGAGTGGGCCGTGCGGATCCTTATATTATACTACAGCACGTGAGTTGCCCCGTGCAGATCCTTATATTATACTATAGCACGTGAGTTGGCCGTGCATCACGTGAGTTGGCCGTGCAGATTCAGATATTTATATTATCGCACGTGAGTTATTTGTGCAGATTATAGCGCTTGGGCTGTAAGAGCCCCTCCGGAGTCTGTACACCTCCAGTGAGGGCAGGTACTCATTGAGAGAGTGATGAGGGCTGGGGGCCCTGGGAGTGATGAGGGCTGGGAGCCCAGTGAGTGATTGTTGCCCTAAGAGGTTGTACTTGATTTTCATTTGTTGTTGCACTTAGTTGCTATCTGTCAATGTTGTGAAATCTATGAAAGATTGTTGATATACGGATTACATGAACAGGAACTGTATTAAAATTGATGTGACATTAATCTGCCAGATTTGATAGCATGTCTATTCTTTGCTAGAATTACTCGAAATGAACCATAATTATGTAGCTCGTTACTATCTTCAGTTCCTTATTTATTATTGTTACTTGCTGAGTTGATTGTACTCATACTACACCCTGCACTCCGTGTGCAGATCCAGGTGTTCCCGGACATAGCGGGTGTTGATCCTTTCCCGCGGTTGATTTTCAGGAGATTATGAGGTAGCTTCCGTATTCCGCAGACCTTGTCTCTCCTTCTCTATCTCTTTGTTTATCGTATTTGGTCTCAGACTATTATAATATGAGTATTTTTCAGACTTGTATTCATATTAGATACTCATGTACTCAGTAACACCAGGTTTTGAGAAGTGTTTGTATTGTATTTAAATATTATATTTTCAATCTTGAGAGAAATTGTGGTTTGTTGAGATTTTCGGTTTGCCTAGTATTGAGATAGGCGCCATCATGACGGGTGAGATTTTGGGTCGTGACAAGTTGGTATTAGAGCCTAAGTTACATAGGTCTCACGAGTCATGAGCAGGTTTAGTAGAGTCTTGCGGATCGGTACGGAGACGTCTGTACTTATCTTCGAGAGGCGACAGAACCTTTAGGAAAATTTCACTTTCTTGTATTCTGTCGTGCGAATTTGTTGATTCTGGAAACTAAATTTCTGCTATTCTATTCTCTCATAGATAGTGAGGACACGTACTACCAGATCGGACGGTCAGACACCAGTGCCACCAGTTAGGGCCGCGAGAGGCCGGGGCCGAGGTAGAGGTCGAGGTGTAGCTCGTACCACAGTTGGAATAGCACCTGTAGTACCACCAGTTGTTCCAGCACAGGAGCAGATTCCAGGCATTCATAAGACTTTGGCCCAGATATTGGCAGCCTGCACTGCTTTGCTCAGGTGGTTTCGGCTCAAGCCGCACCTGCCACTTCTCAGGCTGGAGGAGGTACTCATACCCCCATTTCCCGTACTCCAGACTAGGTAGTACAGGGACTTCAGATACCGGGGGCACTACCAACCCAACCGGTTGTAGCTGCTCAGGCCCCGGTAGTTGCTGTTATGGCAGATGATGAGCAGAGGAGACTTGAGAGATTTGAGAGGCTTCGACCTCCACCATTTAGCGGTACTGAGTCAGAGGATACTCAGGATTTTCTGGATAGGTGCCAACGGATGCTTCGGATAGCGGGTATTTTGGAGACCAGTGGGGTCTCATTCACTACTTTTCAGTTTTCTGGGTCTGCATTCAGATGGTAGGAGACTTACGAGATATGTAGGCCTGTTAGCGCAGCACCCCTTA